TCTTGTTCTCCACCAAAGTGTTAACAGTATTAACTAACTCCTGCTGAAGGGCAGGTGGCCTCATGGTGGGGACATCCCTTGTGCTGGCAGCTTTTTCCTCACCATGAGCCAGCGATCTCTGAGTTTTGTCTTGCTTTGTCTCTGGTCTGTACTTGTGAGCCAGCTTAAGCAGTGGGGTAGCTGTACGGCGGGCCAAGGCCTGGGTGAACTGGATAATCGCAGGAGACACTTTCAGGCCCTTTGCCACTGCAGCCGAAATTAGCAGGGCCATTTCACAAAATGGGTGAGGTCCCTTTTGGGCTGGATGTCCTGTCCAATGACAAAATTCATGCACCTTTTTTCAAATGGGAGTTGCCACCTTCTTGGCCTCCTGCTTCTTCATGACAGCACGGCCAGCCCTTCCTTCTCTCGCTTAGACTTCTTTCCTTTCCGCATCTTAGGCGGTGGGAGGGGAGAGGTAGGTCCTTTACATTTAGCGTGGTGACTGATAGCTGCAGTTATGTCTACCATCTCGGTATTTATTTTCTATTTGTTTTATATGTCCTTTGTTCCTTTAGTTCTCCATTCCCCCATTTTCTATTAATTTATTATATTCTGTTTAGTCCAGTATTAAACTCATAACAATGAAATTTATTTTCACTATTGTATATATTTTAGTTCTGGATTATTTAATATTTTTAAATTCCATCTCCCTGTTCAAATGATCTTTTCATCCATTTTGTCCATCTTTTTCCTAACTTTCTTTACCATATTTGTAATAATTATTTTAAAGTTCTCATCTACAAACTCCAGCATCTGAATTACCTGTGGGTCAGCCCTTTTGTCTGTTTTTACTCGCTTGTTCACGTTTTCCTGGCTTTTTGCATGCTTCAGAATTCTTTATTGTATCCCATACATTTATGTATTTAAGAATTACTGAGAGTGAAGATGATTTTATTTTCTCTCACAGAAGGCTCTCACTTCCCTTTGTTAACCACAGTGGGTAAGGAGCTGATTATCTCAACAAATGCAATTGAGTTGAGTTTAGTCTGGGTTTCAGTTTTAGCTGACCCAGTCTATCTATTGGGTTTCAGAAAAGTCAAGACGTATTTTTTTCTGTGTTTTTGGTTGCAAAAATGCGTCATGACTTTTCCAACAGCCCAATATATCAGTTTTGTCCTTGCTTCTTAGCTTTGACTCCCCCTCAGCTTTTAATCAAAAGCCATGTGGGTCTCTATCTCTTTATCTCTTAAATGCTGTGGGAGATTTCATATCTGCCCTTTGGAGTTTTGAGTTTCACTCTTTATTCTCTCATATCATATAGCCCTAAAATTTGGTACATTTCGTAAGGAAGACACTGCCCTGTATTTGCTGTAGGCTCCTCCCCCCAGTGGCACATCACTCGGAAGTAGTGCCAGACTTCAGGAGATTTCACTATGCCACTCCAACCCTACCTCATCCCCCAGCCGCTGGTACAACCCAGCATTCAATAAATGTCCTGTGGTGTCAACTGGCCACCCGAGTGGGCCTCCTCCAGGTTTCACTCTGTGATGCCAACCCATGTATCTATCAGGAAATCCGCTAGTTTCTCTTTTCCCTGGTAGAGTTTCACATAGGTAGGGTTGCTCTGCTTGTGCCAAACCTAAGCTTAACCTTACGGTCAGAATCAGCAAATGCCTCTACAGAAGACAAAAGTAGTCAGCTCGTATTGGAAGGGCACTTTCCTGTCTGGAGTTTTATTGTAATGATTTTGTTGTGGTTGTTTTCATAGATCCCTAGTGTCTATAAAAATATGTTTTTGGTATGTATCCTTTTTACCCCCTGTAGCAGAAGTGATAGCTTCCAAGTAGACTACTACATCTTGCTTGGAAACAAAATTTTCCCTCCAAACATTAAATATTCTTCTGCAATTTAAATGGTCACATAGCTTTCCAACATTTGGAATACATTTTATTTCATATTACACTTTATAATATTGTTAGAAATTTAGAGTACTTTTTCATCTTGTAACAAATATCCTTGTAACTAAATTTCTGATTATACATTTAGTACTTTTTCTTAATATAAATTCATAGATGTGTAATTGTTGTATTAACAGATTTGCATATGAGATGTGATCAAGAAATATGGTGAATGTTTAAACAAAAAAAAATTATTACAGTAAGAGACATAGCCACTAATCCCCTTCAAAATACTCACCCTCCCTTCAAACACACTTATCCCATCATTCTTGCCACTTTCTGAAGCAGTCTGGAAGTCCTCTTTTGTGAGTGTCTTTAGTTGTGCTGTCATGGCTGCTTCAATGTCCTGAATCAATTCAAAACGCTTTCATTTTAACTTTGTGGAAGAGTCAGAAGTCACACAGTGACAGGTATGGTGAATAAGGTAGATGAGGACACACTATAATGTTTTTATTTGACAGAAATTGCCATACCAGAAGTGATATGTGACATGGAGCCTTTCCTGTTGTGATTACAAAATACAGTGAATGCTACTGCTGAGTGCCATCCAACAGAAAGGCAGGGATCATCAATATGGGAAGTGGCACATTTAACCTTAGTAACTGTGTGACAACTTGTTTGGTGTAGTCAGGTGTGAGCTACAGTTGAGAGAAGGTGTGTTTTAAAGTGTGCAGTAACTCATCCTCCATCATGACAATGTTCCATGTCACACATCACTTCTGGTATATGGCAATTTCTATCAAATAAAAACATTACGGTGTATCCTCATCCACCTTATTCACCGGATCTGGCACCATGCGATATCTGGCTCTTCGCAAAGTCAAAATGATTCAGGACATCAAGGAGGACAAGACAGCGCAACTAAAGACACTCATGAAAGAGGACTTCTAGAACTACTTCAGAAAGTGGCAAGAACGATGGGATAAGTGCATTCATAGCGAGGGAGAGTATTTTGAGAGGGATTAATGGCAATGTGACTTTTACTGTAATAATTTTTAAAAATTTAAACATTCACCCTATTGTTTGATCACACCTCATAGATTTTTTTAAATTTTATAATTTTGATAGATTTTGGCAAATTTTTGCCAAGAAATACTGTACTAATTTACTTTGACAGTGTGGGAGAAATCCTACTTCCTGTGGGTGGTATATTAATAATATATGACGGGATTTGATTTCTTTCATGATACACCCACATGTTATTTTAATCTCCAGAAAACGTTAAGACTTTCTTCTCAATAACCAACTATTATCATGGAGTGCTTAGAGAAATGTAAATAATTAATTTTATTGGTATTTATATTTTGGTTGAAAATATATATTGTTTATGGTAACAGAAAAAAGATGTAAGCCCAGCTTTTCATTTTGGTTAGTTTTGGCACATTTAGGAAGCAGTTAGTATTTGATTGCTTTGAGTCATGTCTTACTTTTTGCATCTTCCTTTTGGTATCTTTAAGAGAAATATTCCATGTTCTTTGGTTTCAGGAGAAATAAAGAATTAATTTGTTGACAAAATATTGCATATGTTGCTATGAATTGGTAGAAGGGAAAGTGTACAACTTCTTTCTCCTCTTATACCCTTGTTTTTATTGGAACCTTCTACTTGATTCTGAACGAACACAAAGACCTTTGAGACTTATGTGAGTCTAAGAGTTACAAATCCTGTGTGTCCTTGATAGACTAGCTTTGAATATCAGTAGTCTGGGTACATGTTTTTTCCATTCTAGAACTGAGAAACACCTGTACTTCTGGAGAGATAAAAATGCTTTTAATCGCCAACAGTTATGCAGTTGGAAATATTTTTTTTCTTATTCCAAACACATTGTTTTCGAGCCAAGAAGTTAAGATTAATACATAATTGATTTTTGTTTTCATTCAGAGGTACTTGTTCTACTTTAAAAGTAAGACCCTTAAAAAGGGCACATGATCCTCAATATTCAGAAAAATGTACTTTTTCTTTTGTTTTGAAGTTTAACTTATTTTAAATTATGGAAAATTTCAAGTATATATAAAAGCCAAGAATATACTGTAATTCTGTTGTGCCTGTCACTACATTTGCTAGTCCTCTCATTTTCACCATTAACAATTTAAATAGGAATGCCTTTATCTGGAAATTGTAATGTATTTTTCCCTGCATAGCCATTTTTTTGGTATCATCAAATGATCATTCATTAGGTATTTATTCCTCATATTTTCCTCAATCTGTTTCTTTTAAAATAAAGATTTCAGTTTATGTTTGTCTCAGGCAGTTTCTTAGTCACTAGGGCATTTATTTTAATTTTCTTCTTTTCAAGCTCCCAAATGTAATGATACTGAATATTGTTGCCTGTTAAATGATGTATGTGAGGAAACCCTTGAGTGGATCTTCGGAAGTGTTACCTTGAAAATACAGTGGATGTGCAAACACTGAAGTCTTTTCAAATGTTGAAGTGTTTTGAAAGGTTGATACTCAGTTTCATGCATATTCAGGAAAGGGTTCTTATTCTCTTTGAACTAAAATTAGTATGCACAGACGCAATCTCTGTTTTTCTTAATTTCTAGTGCAATTAACATTCTTTATTTCATTTCTGTATCAAACTTATGGAACTGATTGTTTCAGTATGTTACCTAGATCCTCCTCCTCATTGCTTTGTGTATTTTAAAGGCTTTTCAAAAACCACTTTTTAAAATACATGCATGGTTCTCATTTTTAAATTTCTACTGCTTAGACATATTCTCTCTCTCTCTCTCTCTCTCTCTCTCTCTCTCTCTCTCTCTCACTCTCTCACACACACACACACACACACACAAACACACATTTCTGGTAGACTGTTGAAGAGAAGACTTTTTTAAAGACTGGGGTTGCTATGGTGAGGGCGAATTAAATGGGGGAATGCAATGGAGCAGAGGGAGAGGATATGCAGTTACTTAAGCATTAAATTCTAATAGCATACTAGATTCTGGCGTGAAGGCCAGTGGAATATTTTTCTTGCTCAGGCATTGGAGTTATGCAAACAGGAGCTATTGCACACCCAGAGTTTCGTGATTGAGAAAGTAAACTTGTACAATTTTTTTTTATAGGTTCAGAAAGGCATTTGAAAGTGAGCCAACGCTACAGTCAGGGATTAATTATGCTGTCCTTCTCCTGGCATCCGGACACCAGTTTGAATCTTCCTTTGAGCTCCGGAAAGTTGGTAATTTACAGCTTGATACTTTATATGGAAATTGAGAAACTGGACCCAACTTGGTACAAAGAAAAAGAATCATTGATGAATAGACCCTTTTCTTTCTATCTCATTTGACTTGCTTAAAAAACAAATATTATTATTATTATTATTAATATAGCCCCTTATTTAGTGTTTCATACTATTGTGCAGAATCCTGATATTAGGATGTAATTCAGTTTTTAGTTTATTTTGCTTGTTTTTTAAAAAAACCCTGGTTAATATTTATTGTTCCAGTTCAAACTAATATTAAACATATGTACTCTGTATTCAGCCCCCAACTCTCAAATAGGTAGTGTTTTGTGGAACATCAAGAATGTTTTCTGTTAGCTTGATTTTGCTTTCCTGGTACATTAAAAAAAAAAGAAGAAGCAGCAGCGAAAACCTCAGATATTTTGTTTCTTCTTCACACCTACCCCCATGATTTCATTTGTGTTTGAAATGGAGCCTTGCAAAGTCCCAGAGTGCTAGGTCAAGCAGATGGCAATCTTGGCAGTGACTGATCTCCTCAGAGACCATCTTTAAATTATAGCCTTTGATAGAACATATTTTGTCCCTTTTACCTGTGGACATTGCCTCATCTGCTGACCCTTCTTTGGAATTTAAAGAAATTAGTGAACAAATTTTATTAGATTTTTTTGTTCTGGCTTTAATAACATTTTTTTTTTAAGATTCTAGAGACTAGAATACTCTCTATGATCATCAAATTGCTCTCTTTGAGTATCTAGTCACCCTCTGTTAGAGAACCTTTCCAATTCTTATAGGAGTCATTATTCAGAAATATTTGGCCATATTTTTCATGAAGAAAAACAGTTGATCTTAGTGAAGCTATGAATTGTAGAAGAATTCTTTCTTTAAGATTTTTAACTGGAGAATGTTTTTAATTTTCCTTCAAAAAAAAAAAACATGAGTCCTGGACTTTTTTTTTTACATTATTTTGGGAAGGGCATATAAAATAGCCATTTGTAATATTTTGAGAAATCTTAGAAGGCAACTAAAGTTTGAATATTAAATACTGTTTAAAAGTCCTAGGTTAAAAGAATGATAAAATACTTGTCACTGTTGGGTTGCACTGGTATTCAGTACAGAAAGCCTTATTTGAAATGTTTTCAGTTGGTGAATGAAATGAGAGAAAATACATTCCAACTTGAGCTTTTCAGAAATTATGATTATAATAAAAAATTCATTGAAGGATAATTTTAAAACTCTACATTAGCCAAAACTCTTCATTGATCAGTGATCTACAAATAACTTGTATTGTACTGTTCTTGAACTTAAGGTGAAGTTTATTGATGCCTCCAGATCGTTACAGGAGTTGACACTGATTTGCATGTGTAGGTAGAGCAGTAACATAGCTGTTTGAAAATATATTTATTCTAAATTCTCATTTTTAAGGTAAATGTAGAATAAGATGGTCGGCACTCTGCTAAGAGAGTAGATCTCACCACAAAAAAGAAATGCTAATTATGTAATGTGATAGAGATGCTAGCTAAGCCATGGTAGTACTAATTATTTTGCAATATATAAGTATATCAAATCAACACAGTGTATACCCTAAACTTACACAATTATATGTGAATTATAAGTTTTTTTTGTCTTTTTGATTTTTTTCTCTTTTTTTAATTAAAGTTTATTGGGGTGACAATTGTTAGCAAAGTCACAAAGATTTCAGGTGTACAATTCTGTAATACATCATCTATATATCACCTTGTGTGTTCACCACCCAGAGTCAGTTCCCTTTCCATCACCATATATTTGATAACCTTTACCCTCATATCCCACCCACCTCCCTCTTATATGTCAATTATATCTTACAAAAGGTAAAAAAAAAAGAAAGATGGTCAACACTCTAAGGCTTGAGGAATTGTGATTAATACAGCTTTATAAAGGAAACATACTTTAATTATTTTCCAAGAACTCATTTATAATACATGTTTAACAAGAATTTGAAAACATTATGAAGTTCAATTTAAAATTTTCGAAATTGCAAAACATACACAGACTTAAAATACGACAAGAATGAATTTTTAGCTACTGCAAGAGCTAGGTTTTTAGACTTTTAAAATATTGTGATATACATTCTAAATTGTATGTTCTTAACTAAAAGGCAGTTAAAACTCACTAATTTATTTTCTGCTCAATCATAAATTGTGCTAATCAACATAGGTTGACCTGAAGTTAATTTTTATGTAATATAATAGGATTAAGGGATTTTAAAGAAAAAACAGGTTAAATAAATTACTAGTCTAGTATAATAATATTAATCAATAGTACATAATAAAAAAACTAATAACATATTTGCGCATTTTAAAGATATCTTAAAAAGACATTGTTTCACATGCTGTAATCAAATTTTCAGCAATTTATATCTTTTTCCATTCTTTGTCTCAGCCCCTGCAAACGTACAAATTAGTCTGAATTACTGTGTTTTTGTAATAATCAGACTTTTCTTTATGAAATCTTTTCTTTAGATCCATTTTGAAATTTTGGTTTCTTCATATAGGGTAAACAAATAACAATTAATATGAGCAAATGTGCCCATACAATCCATTGTATGCATCCCCTCCAGGGATCAGGCTGTCAGTGATCCCACTAGCATCCTGAGTGGTGTGGGGCTACGTGTGCCTCATGACACGGTGAATATGGAGTCCATGACATCTCCTGTGAAATAGTCTTGCCAAAAATATTTAGCCTGCATCTTAATATCTAGCATCCAGTTAATAGGAATCACAGTGGCTAGAAAAATAAGTCAAACACCATGCAGGGCCCTCAGACAGATCTAGAATGTGAGGACATTCTACAAGGCACCCCTCCTGGTCTCTTCAAAATGATCAGTGTCTTAGAAAAAAAGTGTGGGTGGATTGGTAACGTTAAATGAAATTTAGCAACATAAAAAGACAAATGCAAGTAATGATCTTGATTAGATTCTGTTTTTTTTTTTTTTATTTTAGCTGAGCCATCCTGCTACCTGTTGGCAGCTCAGTGGCTGCTCAGCTCGGGCTGGACTCGAACCGCTGTTGCTCAGAGCTCAAACTCTTAAGCGAGCTCTTAACCAACTGAGCCACTCGGCCGGCCCTAGATTCTGGTTTTTAAAAAAAGCTATAGGAGACATTTGGGGGAATATTTAGAAAATTTGAATTAGGGACAGATACTAGATAATATTAAGGAAGTATTTTTTTGTTAGGTGCAATTAATGAATGAATAGGAGAATTTTTAGGTCTGTTGTCAATACTTAAGGGCAAAATGTCATGATGTCTGTAAGTGAATTTGAAATGGTTCATTATTTTTAAATTTATAAGTATATAACTATTCTGGGTATAAAATTAATTATTGTAGCATTTTACTATAGTAAAATATATATACTGTATACATTTATACTTCAACTGACTCATTTCCCTTTCAAATAACTAAAGACTCCATGATGTAATAGGGAAAGAAGCAGGTTACATAAGGTGTTTAATGATACCACCTTTTAATTTATCCATATACAGGCATACATAAACATTCTGGAATCATGTACAGACATCAAAGTGACAGTGGCAGTTATCTTTGGGTTTTTAAGTTAAAGGGTAAATTTCATGTTCTTCTGTATATCTTTAGGATTAGTCTGACATTATTTTACACTGAACTTTATTAAAGCCCTTTTGTAATCAGAAACTTAACGAAGCTATTTTAATCTGAAAGGAAAAATGAAAGCTTCATTGTGTTTTTTAATAAAAAGCTGGCTCTATGTAGCTACTGTGTGTTTGTAATGTTGTATTTCTGTCCATCTTCTAGGGGTGAAGCTTAGTAGCCTTCTTGGTAAAAAGGGAAATTTGGAAAAACTCCAGAGCTGGGAAGTTGGATTTTTTCTGGGGGCCAGCGTTCTGGCCAATGACCACTTAAGAGTCATTCAAGCATCTGAAAAGCTGTTTAAGCTGAAGACACCAGCATGGTAAGAATAAACTGTTAATGTGTTTATCCAGTTATTTTTAATCAACAGCTCCTATAACTTCTTTCCAAATTGTTATATTTTTTGAACTGACAATGAGATTATTTTATTTGCTTATAGAATAAAATGCAGAGTCTAGAGAGAAAAGTAATATCCATGAATAAAATGGGTTGAATATAGGTTCTTATGACTTTGGACATAGGTAATGTCTGACTGCTGCCAGCTCAGCCTTTCTGTCACATTGACCAACCACTAACCCAGGTTGGCCAGTGTTACCCACATGAATCATGCAGGGGCCTCAAATTTTACACCTACAAATCTGATCAGCGGGTTTACAGGTTTCAAACATATGCCCTTTGTTTCCATTATGATCTGATCTCAGTTTTGGAATTCTCATTCTTTTTTACTTAGGGTTTACTGACCCATGGGACTGTTTTCTATATATGTGTGTTTTTCTCATTTCAAATTGTTCTTGGCCTGCACCCAAGTCTCATCATTATGTATGGTAATTGGAGAAATGAAAACAAAATTCCTTCCATCACCGTATATTTGACCCCGTTTACCCTCATCTACCACCCCCCTCTCCCTTATCCTCTGGTAACTACTGAACTGTCTGTGTCTGTGAGTTTTTGTTTTTTTATTTGTCTGTCTTGTTCCTTTGTTGCTTTCAGTTTTATATATATCCAGTAAGTTTTAATTAAAAAAAATTCCGGGGCCGGCCGAGTGGCGCAATGGTTAAGAACTGGCTTGGGATGCCAGAGGGCATTGGTTCGGATCCCACATATGAGGGCCAGTGACACTGCCCTCCACAGCTAAGATGCTGAACAACAAACAGCTCAACCTGGAGCTGGGCTGCCCCGAGTCGCCAGCGAGGGCGTAGGCTGCAGTCCCTGTGGCAGTGGGTTGCCATGGGCTACAGTGTGTAGCTAGCAGCCAGCGTGAGCGGCCAGCAGCCGCAGTGAGCGGCCGTCCAGAAGCCGGCGACTGATCTGCCTCGCCCAGGAAGAGCGCAGTGACGGTGCCAACTTGGGCCAGTGAAGCAACGTCCTCCACAACTAGACTGAAGAACAAAACAACAGCAACTTGTCTGTTCCCCTTCCCCAATTCCCCAGCACTGTTCCCATGCCCCCCCAATTCCCCAATAAAAATCTTAAAAAAAAAAAAATTTCCGTCTGCACATAGGACTATTTTGGAAAACAATGCTAATTTTATTATGCATCACATGTAATGACTGACCATTAGCTGTAAAGACTTTTCAAGGTTAACAATGATTCCTGGGAAACCAACAAAGGCTTAGAGCAGCCCAGAGCTCAGGCCCCTGACTTATTTTCCTCAGAGGAACCATTTGAGGAGATAGATGATGGGTAGGTCCTCATGGCTTCCTAAAGGATTTTTTCATTTTCAGCAGATGTTCCTACAATACATGTCTGACCATTCCCCTCCACTGAAACCCTTAAATCAGTATAGCTTAATGGAGCCTCACAGCCTAAGGAATAAAGCCCATCTCCTTAGCGTGGCCAACAAGGTTTTGCCCTTAGTCCTTCCAGGCTCAGCCCTTGTCACACCCCCGGGTTTATGCTGCTCTCTGTTCACACCGAACATGCCTTATTGTGGCTTCATGCGCACGTGTCTCAGCACACATTGAGAAGGCCTCTTCCAGCGCCCTCTACCTGGGCTCATAAGTCATGTCTGCTCATAAATCAGACCCCCACCTGAAACGTTTCCCCGCCTCTGGACAGAAGTTCCTGGATGCTGTTGCATACATGTGTGTGATTATTTCATCTCATGGAATTTTCTTCTCTCTTATTTCCATTGTTCTTTAGTCATATCTCTGTTGATACTGGCTGTACGACTTTTGTTAGTTGTGTCTGTTTAGTTATAGCTCCATTGATGTGTATCACATGGTGCTGTAATACCTTCTACAGTTCTGTCTCCTCAGCTCTGTGCACAGCTTGAGAACAGGTCTGTATTGTCAGTAGTATGTCCACAGTAGGCATTCAGCAAATGACATGAAATAAATAAATGCATGTGTTCAGTGCAGCCGAATTTATTATTTCTTTATTATGACCATCCTGATGGTAGAGGAGAAGAATGAAGCACAGGTACAAGGAAGGAGCTTTGGTTTTAGGTATCCTGGCTTCTGTTGACAAGAAAGCAGACATTATTTTATGCATTAGTAATAACAACCATGAAACAATGTCTTAAATTTTCATTAACTTATTGCTAGCTTCCATATTATAGTTTATAATGTGCTTGCATACCTATTGTTTCACATAATTATCTTGCTCTTCATTTTTTTTTTCTAATTTTTTTCTTCGAGGCACCAGTTGTCAGATTTGAGTATATTTGTGTAATATATAAGCTGAGTTACTTTGGGCAAAATAATGATTTCTTATGAAAAGTCTGTTTAGAAAGCTTTCTCAAGGAAGCATATTTTTTTTTTTAAGATTTTATTAGGGAATGGGGGTAGGGGAACAGCGTTGGGGAATCGGGGAATGGGAATCGGGGAGTGGGAACAGACAAGTTGCTGTCCTTTTGTTCTTCAGTCTAGTATAGGATTTCGCTTCACTGGCCCATGTTGGTATTATCATTGCGTTCTTCCCGGATGAGGCAGTTGCTCACCGGCCATTGGATGGCGGCTCATGGTGGCTCACGAAAGCTCACGCCGGCCACTCACGGTAGCTTATGGCAGCCCACTGCAGCCCCACTGTAGCCTACTCTGTCGCTGGCGACTCACTGCAACCCAGCTCCAGGTGGAGCTGTTGTTCACCATCTTAGCTGTAGAGGGCAGTGTCACTGGCCCTCATGTAGGATCCGAACTGGGGCCCTGCTGCTCAGAGCTGGCGCTCCCAAGCCAACTCTTAACCAACACGCCACTCGGCAGGCCTAGGAAGCATATTTTAAAACAAATGCATTAATCACTTCCTTGAATAGAATATAGTCACTATTTTACAAATCCTGTTTTAAGTCCATGTATCACCCAGTCCAAGTCACTTAAGCCCTCCAAGCCTCAGTTTCATCATCTTTAAAATGATCATAAAACAGTCTACTTGATTGAATTTTTGTGAGCCTTAAGTGAGATAATGTGTGAAAGTATATGACATGTAACAAATAATAATATTTGGTGAATCTGAATGCATAATTATTAATGCCATATTTAAACTGAACTTACAGAATAAGGGATACATGGGAACAGGTGGTTCTAAATTTGACTGTTGTGTTTTAATTTTTAGGTACCTCAAGTCTATTGTAGAGACAATTTTGATATATAAGCATTTTGTGAAGCTGCCTACAGAACAGCCTGTGGCCAAACAGGAACTCGTGGACTTCTGGATGGATTTCCTGGTCGAGGCCACAAAGACAGATGTCACTGTAGTTAGGTTCCCAGTGAGTATGCTTCAATTGACTTAACTCCATAGCTCTATTTTGTTTCTTTTATTTAAATAATATCTTGCACTGGGATTGTAACAATACTAGTGTGCTTATTTTTATGCTTTAAAACAATGTTCATATGGTTAAGACACACATTTATTTTCTGCCTATTGGTTTGCTTTAGCTTACTTTTTAAAATAACTTCTCAAAATCAGAGAAATGAGATACATCTTTATGATTTGCTGTGGAATTGGGTGGTTTCTTTTCATAGGTTGTAAAGTGCTCCTTCCCAAGAAAAATATTCTCTTAATTAGCTTGGTAAGTCAAGACATCTCTTCAGACCAGACAGATGGTGCATTTTAAAATTCATACTACAGTTTTGTTGACATTGTCATCAATATCATTGCCATTAATTTGATGAAAGGTGTCAGGCTCACCTGTGTTGTTATTCTATCTCCACCACTCATTATCCACATGAATTAGGGTTAGATGTAGTATCCACAATCGCTTTTTACAGTGCTTTAGATCACTGGAAATAATTTGTAGGTTCTGATCTGCAACTCATTTTGGCTGGTTTCTATCAAACTTTGTATAAATATATATATTTAAAAGTCTAGGGTGGCTGGGTGGCTCGGTTGGTTGGAGCGCGTGTTCTGAACAACAAGGTCACCAGTTTGATTCCCACATGGACCAGTGAGCTACACCCTCCACAACTAGATTGAAACAACTACTTGACTTGGAGCTGATGGGTCCTGGAAAAACACACTGTTCCCCAATAAAATTTCTTTAAAAAAAAAAAAAGCCTAATAGACACAAACACTTAAAAATATATTGCTCATGTTCTCCTCTGGTGCCGTCCAGATCCTGATAGTATAGCTTTCACATCCAATTCAAGATTTATTGGCCACTTACTCTACACAAATCTCTTCCCACATCAAAGGGATGCTATAAATCTCTCTGCTTGAGCTCTTAGTCTCAATCTTCCATACTCAGAGGTGCTGACAACTCTCAAGTCTTTTTACAAAAATCATGTTTTCTAGTTCTTGTTGATAATATCATCTGATTTAATTAAATCCATTGCTGGCATTAACAGGCTTTCTTTATTCTTGCTTCCAGATGAAGCTTTAAATGCAGTAGGATCTTTAGTCGAAAAGCCTTTTGAAACTCAAACACTTCACTTTATTTTCTAGCCTAGATAATACGTAGCTAGGAAAATATTTATCTCAGAGTGAGCTGGCAGCTTGCCTTGAGCTGGTGCGCTGATGTTAGTAAATGTGGTGAAAGTAGACTGCGCAGAATTGAAGCATTTAATTGACTGTTGACTTGATCAACTAGAAAATTAGCTATGAAATGAAACCACTCGTATTAGCTATTCTGAGCTAATTTAAGTTAGTTTAATATGAATTAGTCTGTCATAACCTGAATGTACAAAAATAAAACCAGAAAATATGAAGAGAGAAGTTAGGAGAATACAGGTATATACTCTAGGTGAGAGGGGATTTCTTAAGCAAGAAAGGAACCTATAAGCCCTAAAGGCAAATGTTGACCAATTTTATTTCATTAAAAATTCAACTTTTGTTCAGTGAAAAACATCATAAATATGGCACATACTGGAGAGGGTATTTAATACTAATGTTGCACAATGATCAATTTGCCTAACGTGAAAAAAAAACCAACCAACTCCTACAAATTGATAAGCAAAAGCAAAAGAAAAATGGGCAAATCATGTGAAGAGATATTAAATCTCACTGTGTACTCAAAAAATGCAAATTAAAATGAAACACCATTGTACCTATGCCATTTTGCATGTGTGCAGATACATGTGTAGGATAAATTCCCGGAAGTGGACTTGATGCAGATTGCCCTGTTGCCCTCCATGGGGACCATATCAGTTGATATCCCCCTCCAGCCCCCACCCCACCTCCCATCAACAGGCTTATTGTTTTTCGCAGTCTCTCCAAAAAGCTGCTGTATTTATCTGATTTGTACTTTTGCTAAACTTATAGATGAAAAATGGTATGTTGTGGTAATTTTAGTGTTTATTATGTGTGAGGCTGTGCATAAGATTAAGTTCTTATGTTTAAAAGACCACTCAGTGATTTAAAAAAACAATTTGTTGTCACCGTTTAAAAATAAAGGGACTTGGACTTTCAGTGCTGGCTACGATGGAGTAAATGGTATTGATATTGCTGTAAATAACTATAAACTCTGGACAAAATATATAGAAGAACTGTTTGTCGGTGTGAAATAGTGATTATCACAGGGCTACAATCCTGAGGGGAGGTAATTGAGTTGAGTCCCCACCTTCACCCCCTTGCTTTCCCCTGAGGTCATTTTTCTGGCTGCAGCCCAGGGAGGTGGAGCCCTAGTCAGCAGTAGTATTCTCACTGGGCAGAGCAGGCAGGGATCAGTGTTTGGGGCCCTCAGGCAGCTGGAATATGTAGGGCATGTGTTGGAGAAGGGGGGAGCTTTGAAGAGTACACCGCAGGATTATGCCTTGGTATTTCCCTTGAGTCCTAGGGCAACTCCCAGATAGTGTGAAAAGAGAGTGTGAAATTATGAATAAACACAACTAGTGGTCCCAGTATTTGACTAAAATTGGGCTTTGGATGGGACCTATGTGGCTTAAATAAGCCTTATCAAGGTAAGTTCCCTTGCACAAATCTCTCCTTACATCAAAGTGATGCTATAAATCTGTTTGAGCTCTTAGTCTCAATCTTTCATATTCTGAGGTGGTGACAACTTTCAGTTCTTTAGATCAGTACCAGAAGTGGCAGAGAGCAGCTTTTGGAAGGCTGAGAGCGGAACAGATAGATATTCCAGAGCTTACACAATGCAGGGATAAGATGTTGGACTTTGAGCCCAGCTAGAGTGATGGGACCTTAGTAGGTCATTGAGACATAGAAAGTCCATGCTCTAGCAGTAAGGGCAAAACTGAAACAGACCCACCTTAACAAAGCCAGAATAAAACTAAGACTGATAGGATCAAGATGATATACTGATAATATAACTGCTAGCTAGGAAAAACAAAACAAAACAAAAACACCTTTGGAAAGATATAATCCAGAGCTTCTGCAATGTGTCATTCAGATGTAATCAAAGATTACTAGACATGCTAAGAAGCAGGAAAAAGTGGCTGGTAATGAAGAGTGAAAACAGCCAATAGAGTCAGCCGAAGAGATGATTCACATATTGGAGTTACCGGATGAGGACTTCAAATAACTATCATTACTGTAGTTAAAGAAGAGGAAAAGATAGACAAAATAGTTGGAAAGGTGGAGTATTTTAATTGAAAAATAAAGTTTATAAACAAATCAAGAGAAAAATAAGGAGAGTACACGTAAAAATCCAAATTTTTAACTACTCTTGAAAATTTCAAGGGACTGGCAATTTGTGACTGCATTCTCCAAAAGCAATAATCTACTGAGCCAACTAGCTGCTGCCTTTTCAGATGTTGGTTACAGTCTCATCTGTCTTGCTTCCCTCATTCACTTTCCCACCAGGCCCACCCTCCTGCAATCATTGAAGTTTGCTACCCATGTTCCACCACATAGAGCTTCTAGTACTTGGGGTACCATATCAGCCACTGTTTAACTCTCCTGTCCTTGGAGCAGCATCTTATGTGGCTCACACTCATGAAGGCTGCAGTGGGTCTTGGTGGGTGATAACATTATCCTTCTTTTGAAGTGGATCTGCCTAAAACCAGGATGACTTATATTAGAAAATACTTCATTTGATTGTCTCCATTTATCTTACTGCCATGTCCATTCTCATTCTTCCAAGAAATAACCGTGACCCCGGGCAATAGCAAGCAGATGCAAGTTTCTTTGGGAAATGATTTGAATGTTTCCATCATTTATTATTATTTCAGTTTAGTTCGATTTACCGTGTTTCCCCATGTATAAGATGCTCCCATGTATAAGATGCACCTTAATTTTGGGGCCCGAAATTTGAAAAAAATGTATTACATAAAGTTATTGAACTCAAGTTTTATACATCATAAAATTCATACAACTCATCACTTGCGGGAAATGCAAGTAAAAAAACCCTACAACCACTGTATAAGACGCACCCAGTTTTTAGACCCCAAATTTTTCGGAAAAGGGTGCGTCTTATACGTGGGGAAATACGGTATTCCTTTTTTCTCACTTCTTCTGTGTGTATTTTTCCTTCCTTCCTACATTGAAAAGTGAGGAGACCATCAGCCCATCACCTAATATCAGGCAAGTGGAAGTGGAGCGTGGCAACTCCAGTTAACGTTTACTCTTTATGAAGGTTCATAGGCCTTGATGTGTTCCTTCCTGCTTCAGATACATGAAGTTAGCAGTTGATTGTAGTGGTAAGCAATATAAAGGACCAGAAACTAAAAGCAAGAATGCCTATACTCGCAAGTGAGTTGAATTTCAACGCTTTTATCAGATTGCTTGCTTTCTCTGGTCTTTTCTCAGCTTTTCTGTGACCTCCAAAATGCATGCTACAAACTCCTCATATTTTTGTCATTTCAAGGGTGGATCAAAGGGCTCAATAAATGTTAGACAATGATAATTACAACCAGTTTTTATTTCCTATCTCAAGATACGAACACACAGCTCAGATTTTATCTACTGGAAATATCTGAGACAGCCATAAACACATAATTTAAGAAGAAAGAGAACCTGTGCTTTTCTAATGTTCAATAGTGTGCCCGTGTAATTAGGGAACAAAGTGTATTATCATTTGTCAGTGCAGTGACTTGGATGCTGTTTTAGAAAACCCACCTTTTGTTCCCTGATACTTGTTCTAATTTCACAAACGCTGTGATACTTAGATTTGAGAGCACGATTTCTGCAAAGTTTAGATTGAAGATTTCTTTTCATTATTAACTAGTACTACTTACCTCTCTGCTGATGGGAATTTGGACCTTGATTCACTGGGTGTGTTCCTCAATCAAAACATGTTCCCCTTTGGGCTCTTCCTGTGTGTTTATTTGTGGTATATTCTGTCTTATTTTCAAAGCTAGAGCCTGATCAAGAATTCTGTATGCCCTTGAAGTTTTTCTACTCAAGAGTAAAGAAAACTTTGTTTTTCTAATCCCCTTTCTCTAGTTCGCTGTACTTTTAAGTAAATTTACTGTTATGATAAATTTATCATAAAATAAATACACTGGGTTTGCATTGTATGGCTGAGTCAGTTTCTAACCCAGATTCTTGCTCAGGCTGCACTTTAGGTTATAATGTATTGTGAATCTGTAATTCCTTGTTAATGGAGCCTTCTGAAGGTTTTTTTTTCTCCACTTTTGTTTGGTAAACCTTGATTGATACAAGATTAGTTCTAAAAGGCAATTTTCTTGAGCATTGGAGTGGAAAAACTATTCTAGTTCCTCGGCTAGTTAAACATTCCTACTTAAGTCTGCATAGGAAATTTGAGCTAGGCAGGTGCCTCTAATCATTGTACAAAATAGATAACAGTTGCAACACCTTTGAAATCAGGGCATGTGTGGTATTTTAATGTTATTTGCTCCTAAAATGAGATATTAGTAATAATATAATACATCATGCAGTCCTTTGATGGGGATTCTCATCTCGCTTATCATATACCCATTTTGCATCTCCAAAACGGAGCAAGTTTTATTTCTCCTTTTCTTTCACAAGGCTAAATACATCATTACTGAAAGTGCCAGTTGTATCTTGAAGACAGTATAAAAACATTTTTATTATTTCATATAGCTATGTCCATTTCTTTGGTTTATATATAAAACTCAATAATAACCAAAATCATTTCTCAATCCATTTATAGGTATGAAAACCACACCATTACCTCTTTATGATAAGGTGTGGCAGCAGAAAACCTAAAGTATGCAACATTCTATATGTGGAATATTTTCCTTTCTTTGTACAGAATTATTTGTGTTACCACCATGTTTCTGACTTTCTTTCACACATTTGTATTTATAGAAATAGAATATGTGTTGTATGATAAAATAGAAGCTTTTTAAGAAGTTCCATCAGTAGATTCCTTGGGGGATAGCCAAACCAATCTATGGACTTCAAAAATTTATTTCCAATTTCTTTAACAATGAAAGGTGATGCATTATTGAAATTTATGATACTTGAATAATATCATCAAATACTCAGAGGACTCATAGAAATGGCAACAGCCAGAATTTTAAATGGTTTTACTCCAGCAATGGAACCAGAGCCTTATCCAATAATCAGTGTTGTGTTGTTATAACAGCTTTAAATGATTTAAACCTTAAGTCACTAATATTAGTTTCTTTGTTTTATGTTTTCAAGGTATTAATATTAGAACCAACCAAAATCTATCAACCTTCATATTTGTCTATCAACAATGAAGTTGAGGAAAAGACAATATCTATTTGGCACGTGCTTCCTGATGACACGGTAAATTGTGCAATTATTAAAACGAGCATTAATAGTGAAGGACTTTACACTCTCCCAGCATTTATGTATTCCAGTAAATACCCGCATTAGCTAAGAAGAAATTGCTTCAGTGTGTATTTATCTTGGCATGAGTATATTCTGTAATATAAAATTTGTTAAATTTGGGTTATAGAGTTCATTCATGTAATAAAATATAGTTGAACTATTTGGATTGTTATTATAGATAACATAACCATCCAAAGTGCACTGGAAATTGGAGAATTTCTTTGTTTTGTAAATTCATGCTCTAAAATAAATTAAGAACTAAAGAACTGATACGTAAAGTACAGAGGGTGCCAAAAAAATGTATACACATTTTAAGAAAGCAAAAAGATGTATTAAAATTGTAATAATATATACCAATAACAAAAGATGAATACAAGTCATGTGTATACATCTTTTTGGCACCTCCGGTATATGATTAAAAGATGCATGTCTTAATTGTAGGAAGCCTGTCAGAATACTACTACTTCTGGTCTTACAACTGGTACTATTCCAATTATCATCACATCGTGGCAGTTGGGTTATCTAAGCAGCTAGCTCTAAGTCTCAGATTAGCCACTGGCTCCCTATGGTGGGCACAGAATGATGTGGGCCTTGCTGCCACTGGTTTTCAGAAAGATCTTAATTTTAAACACTCTGATTTCAACACGTAGCTATCATTTGGATAACCCTTTTCACTTCTGTGTATCATCCATTTTTTTTTTTATTGTTAGTTTCAGGTGTACAGAACAATGCAATAGTTACCCTTTTCACCCTCACAAAGTAACAACCCCCCTCCCCCCATCCACTGCCCTCCCACCCCCGATATCATGCTTATCTATTACAATTCCATTGAATCCGTTCCCACACTCTACTCCGTGTATCATCCATTTTAATGCATGTGCAAATTATCCTACTATTTTTTAAAAAATAGAAACTTTTCAAGACCTGATTCCAGTTCACAGGATAAACCACAGAAATGAGAGAAGTCCTGTGGCAAAGTAGTTTTGTGGAGTTCTTTTATAATTGTTTTCCAAAATACCCTTATTATTTTCCTTAAATATCTACACACTCAACAAATATTTATTGAGCAGTTACCCTGTGACAGGCACTACCAGGCCCTGTTAGGCACAAGGAAAACAGATGTGTCCAAAATAAGCAAAATTTCTGCCCTCGTGATGCTTACCGTCTACTCAGGGAGACAGACAATGAACAGATACATGAATAACATAGGTATATTACTTAGTGAAAAAGGATAAACAAAGCAGAAAAGGAAATCAGGAAGTACACTTGGAGGTATGGGGTTGCAGTTTTTAAAAATGTGGGCTTTGAGTCAACAGACCTGGGTTCAGATCCCATCACTGCCTTTGGGCAACATGGCTTCTCCAAGCTACAGTGTCCTTATTTGTAAAATGGGGTAATAATGATATCCACCTCAAAAGGTTGTTGTGAATGTTAAACGAAATGATGTAGGTCAAGTGTATTGTACACAGCCTGGCATATAATAAATGCTCCATGTATTTTAATAGCAATAATAAAATCATGGCCGTACACATATGGACTGAACTCAAACATTGAAACCCCAAAATTTAGCTCTTTAGATGACATTCCAGCAGTCATTTGAGAAGTGGTTCGTGTTATATTAGGGAACTGTGATATTGTGATGTACAGTAAGCAATATATGTTTGATCCTAGTCCCCATTTCTGACACAGAGCTCCTAAAGCCCTTGAAAGTCCCTCAGTGCTGAGAGCCATAGACGTCTTTTGCTATGTTAATGAAGTGACTTTTGGCACCTAAGGATGGGCGCATGGGGAACTAACCTTGAGATTAGAGGGTGGGAATTTTTAGTCCCCCCATCTTGCCTTGGGGAGGGGAGAAGGGCTGGAAGTTGAATCAGTCACCAATGGCCAATGATTTAATCACTCATGCCTGTGTAATGAAGCCTCTGTAAACACCCTTAATGTTCAGAGAGCTTCCCGGTTGGTGGACACACAGAGAAACAGGCAAAGAGATGCATCTGGAGAGGGCATGGTAGCTCCATGTCCCTTCCTACATACCTTGCCCTGCATCTCTTCCATCTGGCTGTTCCTGAGTTATATCCTTTTATAATAATCCAATAATCTAGTATGTAAAATTTTTCCTGAGTTCTGTAATCCATTCTAGCAAATTAAACCCAAGGAGGCAGGGGGGTCATTGCAACCTTTGCTTTTATAGCTGGCATGATAGCATGATTCCAAGTGGAATTGTCCAGAGACAAAATTAATAGTAATTAATAAAACTATCTATTTGCATGTTGTTACCATTGTTTTAAAATGCACAGTGTTTTATTTACATTATTTAAAAGTATCTGCATACATGTTCTTGCAAGCAGAAGTAGTCACCCAGTTTAAATTCCAAAAACAAAAAGAGGTTAGGAGAGATGAACATTATTTTTCAAAGGCTTGAAGGGAAAGAACAAGGTTATCCAAGGACACTTGGAAACAGAATGGAGTTAAAGGAATTAGCAATTAGTAAGGCCCAGAAAATGAGTGGACAGCCAGAAGTATTTGGAAGACAGGAAAAGAACAAAGTAAGCCAGAGGTTTGGGAAAATAAGTGCTATTTCTAGCTTGTTGTCATGATTTTTCTTTTATGGAAGTTCTTCATTCAGTAAAGTTAGCCTTGTAGGTTTTGTGACAATTGTAGAGACAACTTTTATATTATGCTAACAATTGAATGTATTAGGCTATAAATGAGTGCATTAAGAAGGGACAGATTTTGTCCTTTTTTACCTTCTTTTGATCAAGAAGAATTTCTGTATTTGCATTGTCCCCACTATTAACCTTTACTGCTAAAAAATTCTCCTTGTTCAAACATTTCAGCTTTCTTTAACTCAGTTTCTATTTTGAATTTATGCCAATTTCTTTGCAAACCTTCATACTATCCGTAGTGTCTTCATTACCATTGCCATTTTCTCTATTTTTAAAAATAGAAGTGATATAATTGGAATGAGGACAAGCAATAAAAATAAGATCATGTTGCTGTTATTATGTTAGTTTAAAGCAACTGTAATAATTATAATTAAGTAAGAAATAAGCAACAGCTTTAATACATCATATGTTAAACAGGAAATGGATTGTTTTTGTCATAGAATGTTAATTTTTTTTTTCTAAAAGTAGAATAGTAGAGAATGTTGCTTTTCATCTATCATATTTATTTCTTTACTCCCTCTCTGGGGATTTTCATTCTAAATGTGGAATGAACCACTATATGAGCTAACATATATTTTATATTACAACTTTCAAAACTTAAAGATCATTTTACCAATTTCCAAGAGTTCAGGGACTCTTAGAAGAGTTCCTCTACATTCAGGGGCAAAATTCTTTGAAATCCCAGTCTTTTAACAGTCCTCCCTTTGTTCAACAGATGGTTACTGCTTACAGTAAGTTAGTACTTGAAGAAAGTCTGCCTGTACACAGGAAACAAAAACCTAGATTGAGGAACAGAGAAATTATTTGCAAGATATTTTAAATGGTTGCTGTTTAGAATTCCCCTCCTTTCAGGTTTGAAGTTTAAGTTCTCCTGGCCTATCTGGTGGCTTCTCAGGCAAAGGTAGCAGGCAGCAGGGACCTAGTGGAGTACTAAGTGCTGACCTCACGCCAGCTCCTGCCAATGGCCATTTTGAGAAGACTCAGGAAATTTATGAGGGGAATAGGTTGACCTCAGACCCTAGATTTTGATGATATAATGCTCTCATCAATGAAGGATGCTTTTAGCTATTATACAAAACTCCCAACTAAAACTTGTTTCAATTATAAGAAAATGTTATCTCATATTATAAGAACTTCAGAGGTAAGGTCTTTCTGGAGGTGACTTCAGTGGCGTACCAGTGTCAGAATTCTGAGCTGAATTCCCTATATGCTCTTGTTTTTTCACTCATCATTGTGTGATGTTTGGAGCTGCTATGTAAGACAGACAGCATCCAAAGGAGGAGGGTCAGGCTCTTTTCCTCATCCAAAACATTGCATGGCATGTGACCATGCCTAAACCAGTCACCAGCAAGGGAAACAGGCTTACCATGGCTGATTTAGACAAATCAATTACACTGTCCCTAAGTATTGCCACCAGACCCTGAACAAAATTCATTTTTTGTTTGCAAAGAAGGAAAGAAATGGCCGTTGCCTAGGGAACCAGCATTGTCTGCCACAGTATAACTCCTGCTACCTTAGCTCAATATTAACTCCTAGTTCCTATTCTTGCCCTAAGCTGGGGCACAGGATGTGAACCTAACAAGTTCCAAGAAAATGGCGCTTGTACTGATTCAGTTAGGTCGAGTGTTGGTTTAGGGCTTGTTGGGGTTCATTATCCATTGCTGCCTCTGACTGTCCCTTTTCCTCTGACCCCCAGAGAGGCCCCAGTTTGGGTTTGTAGCTCACCAGTGCCTGCATGTGGAGAGGCCACCAGCAAGGGAGGTGGGGCGAGATGCTTTATTCCAGATCGCTTCATCTCAGGCCCTGGGCTTTACACCACTGAAATGGAACATTCCCTGGCAGCACTTGCAACCTTTCAGGAACCTAACATTCTGGAAATGCTTTACTCCTTTCCTACAAAACCAGTCCAATCAATCTGGGAGGTCTCTCCGTGGCTGCTCCCAGAACAGGGCTGATGGACGATAGAGTTTACCAGTGCTGTCTTGTTGGCATTCCCCAGTTGCTGTGTTCAGTTGAAGGTTTGTAAACTGCCCTACTGGCTCTGCAACCCAGCCCCCACCTCCCGATCCTGGGGATGGCCTTAGAAAGCTCAGTCCCAGGCTCTGAGGATAAGGCTGCAGAGTGTGCAAGTGGCGTGCAGGTTAACAGCTGCAGCTCCCGGGTCACATATATTTAGAAGGTCACCTGAGGCCAACAGGATTTAGAAGCAACTTTCAAATTATCATCCAAAGCTGCAGACTGCTATTTTAATTTAACTCGCTCTGCACTCTGGTTAAGAGAACCACTTTCTCTGAGCACCTTTCTGTGGTCTCTGCTTTCCCTGGGCCTCATGCACAGCAACATTTGCTCTGTAGTAATTCAGGTCATGTCCTATGACCTGACTGATGTGCATTAAAAGTAGTTTTTTAGTAAATCGACTTCAGGCTTGAGAAGATCTATTTTTATTTTAAATTTCATGGTCCTCGCAAAGAACTAGGTGCTATGAATATAAACTGTGGCTTTTGGAGTTGCTTCCGCCACAAGGAGAGTTCTGGGCTGCCTCAGAGCCACAGCTTCATTGTCCATTTCACTAGTCCAGCCAAGGTCTCAACCTTCTGGCAGTATTTTAAGTGGGTGGGTAAGAGCTTGTTTTCCTGGTTGTTTTACATTTAAAGGATTGACTACCATACTTGCTAAACTTGGACACATGTATCACCTACTTTATTTCTGCAAAACTATTTGTTATTAATAGTATATTGTTGTCAGACATATTTTTATAGGGAATGTTCTCCATCTTGTAATTTATTTAATTTAGAGACACATGCATTTAATACTAATTTTAATTTAGCTCTAGTAAAAGAGTCAAGAAATCCCACATTTTTCTCATCTTGGCCCTGCAGATCACCCATGTTTATCATATGACAATCACATTTTTTTATGTTCAAACTTTATTAGTACATTGCATTTTGCATAAATTAAGTAACACATTGTAGCTATGATGGACACTATACAGAGGGTGCCAAAACAGATACACATTTTAAGAAAGGAAGGAAAAACTATTAAAATTGTGGTACTCAATATATACCAATAACAAAAGATGAACACAAGTCACATTTGACTTTTGCATTTACAAGAGGTGCTCAGAGTAGTTACCATCAACGTCCAGACACTTCTGATTATGGAAAACTGTTTGAGCAATGTTGACCAAAGTGTCTCCTTGTACAATGTTTTTGGCATTCCTGGTATATATGTGTGTACACACATGCATACTTATTGTACTATTTTCTGAGAAAATAGAAACACCTGTTAAAAAATTTAAAGATAATTTAATAATAGTTATCTTTAAAACCTTGCAGATATTTTGTTCAAATTAATGGTTTTCTTTTTCAGAAAAGAAATCTTTCTTGACTATAATAATTCAAGTACCTTGATCACTGGGTTGTTTACTTTAACAATTAATGCACAACAGTTATTAGGTTAATCGAAAGATAAAATTTTTGAAGTTACACGAGACCTAATTCTCTCAGGTACTCTTGGAGCTGTTTTATTGAAGTACAGAAATCATTAAGTAAACATCACTCTTGTGGCTTGAGAATGAATTGCAGTTTCCATCCAGATAATTTGTTTATGAAGAATTTTATACACTAGGAAAAAATTACTCTGTGTATATTATTTAAAAAATAATAAAACAAATGATTGTTATGTTAACTTGGATGACTGAACATTTTTTGTTCTTTCCCTGTGTTCTAGAAAGGTATACATGAATGGAATTTTAGTGCTACTTCTATCAGGGGAGTGAGGTAAGTTTCCTTGGTACATTTCATTTTCTTAGAAGACATTTTTCTGGGACTCTTAGTCATTATTTAAAAATGCAAAGAATTTCAGTAATCTTTTTATTGATGAAAATGCTCAACCTTCTTTAGTATCACTACCTCTATTATAAAAAATTTGCAATGAAACTTTCATGGTTAAGCTGAACTGACTCTGTGTTTGTCACCCACTTAAAACATGGTGACTGAGGGGTAAATGGGAAGGAACAGAATCAAAGTGTAGGTAAAAGTAAGCTATGTGGTGTTCTCTGTAGGTGGTTGAGCTGTTGGTTTATGTTATAAGATAGTTTTCTGGTCTTTCTGTATACCAGGAACTAACTAATCTCTCCTTAGATGGATCGAAAGCACACATCTTCTAGAAGACAATCTGGTCTTCTACCAGGTTGTGTCCAGTACTAATATTAATGTGGTGAGGTATTCAGGAATATGTTTTTAAAAACAACTTGTCCTGAGGTCACCATTAATGAAGTGTCTTGAGATTAGAGTGATTCACTTTAGTTCGGTTCAATTCTGACATTGCCATTATAATGCCATTGGCTCAGGAAATGCCATTTCTTGGGATTTAGAAATGAGGGTTTTTTTGCAGAATCAAAAGCCACTAATTAAACTCATACTAGACCAACTCTTAGAAATTTTATACCAAACTATTTGTGTTTATTACTCTTTATCCCCACATAATAGAAATGGAAAAAAAAAATCCCACCAGATTTCTGAAGGCCAGTTATGCAATACCCTGTTGCTTTTGGCATAATAGTAATTGGTTTTGCTGGAGCATGAACTGATAGAGCTGTCTGAGTCGCTGCTAATTGGAGTTTACCTGGTAAAACCACCTGTTACATTATGAATGATCTGAACAGAAACAAGCAAGATTATGGACTGACTCAGTATATACCTTTCCATTCCAAGCCTTCTCAAATAAAGCTTTATTCTCTTAACATTTAATTTTTAAAACAGATAATTAGTTAAGTACTCATTATTTATAGCTGCATTTTAAGCAATTCCTTTAGTAAAGTATCAGTTTGACTTCATCATATCTATTTTCCAGTGAATTAATTTTCTTTAAGTATGGCATCACTACATAACCTTTGTTGTGATTTACAGCATACACATAGAATGCTTATTTATATGTTGAGAAATTTGAGTTCTGGTGTGTGACTTCAAAGAGAGCTAACTTTCCTTGGCTTTCTCCTCTATAAAGAAATGAAAAACTACAGAAGGAAATCTTGACTAAGTCAGCAGTTGGTCTTGCATCACCTCAGAACATTCTCAGATCAGTCAGTAGGTATTTATTGAGCAGTAGCTGTGTGTCAAATGTTGAATCCTAGTCTGCTCAGGATACAAAAATGATTAAGATGTGAACTCTTCTCTCGAAGGGTTCTAAGCCCAGCAGAGGATTTAACAACTAATGATAATACAATGTGAGATGAGCAATGATAGAACTGTGTTCAAAAAACAGAAGTACAGGAGGAAATCTTTCTATTTATGGTAGAAGTAGAGAAGGGAGTAAGGTCTAAGCTGAGCCTTAAATGATGAGTAGAATTTATTAAAAGGTAAAAAATAATGTGAATTCCAAATTGAAGGAACAGCAGATGTACAGGCATAAAATAGGGATTGGCAGACTACAGCCCACAGGTCAAATATGGCCTACTGCCTGTTTTTATAAAGTTTTATTAGAACTTAGCCATATTCATTTGTTTATTGTCTAAGGCTGCTCCAATAGCAAAATTGAGTAGTTTGGCCCACAAAGCCTTACTCTCTGGCTCATTACAGAATATATTTGACAACTGCTGGCATAAAACAGCCTGACCTGACTGGTAATCTCAAAATGTTTTGATTGCTATGAAGTAAACCGCTTGCTGAGTCCAAACCAAGTGCTGCTCCACGTTGCTTCACTTCCTTGAAAATCTCTCCAACTAATGAGGTGCTCTTACTGCCTCCACACATTGCCTTCCTAGCTTTGGAAACATTTTGTTGTCCTACAGATCTCATAACACCAGAATGTCAAGGTCAGTCAGCCAATCAATACTTCCGCTTTTCCTCCCAGCACAGTTTGGTGCTACAGAAGGCAGGACACCTTTTCCATGCTAAGCTGGAGGCACATACAGCTTCTGTGTGCCTACAACCCCCAGAGAGAGCAGCTCTATCTACAGAGATGAGTAGGAAGACCACCCTCAGAATATTAAAAGATTTTAGTATTGTGGTACAGAGAACATTATTTTAAAGTACTATTTTTAACTTTTTGCCATTAAACAGCATTGATTTCATAATTGGGACAATATAAAAAGTATTTATTTTTCATTACAGTGCACCAAAGTATTGGGATTGCCCTGAATCATTCTCTTGTTGTTTGTTTCAGTATTTCTAAATTTGAAGAACGCTGCTGTTTTCTTTATGTGCTTCACAATTCTGACGATTTTCAAATCTATTTCTGTACAGAACTTCACTGTAAAAAGTACGTATTAGTCATTGTTTGTGTGAAAAAGACTGTTCTTACCTGATTATTTTTAATTAATGAGTGAACATGTACAATAGCTCCTGCAAAGAACTCATGGCTATGTAACTATATAAATATTTCATTTGGGCCAATATTTTATAATTATGTGGTATGTTTAACAGAGAAGTTTGCGGGCTCCCTTTAATAAATCAGCTTATTCTTAGTCATAATTTATTTTTGCACAGACAGGACTTAACCAGTTAATTGCTATAAGCATGTCTCATTTCAAAGCGCTCACTTATTAGGATAATATATGATTATCAAAATTTTCATTCTTGAATTCTTTTGAATAACCTCACCATTATCTACAACAAGTGGCTCTTAAATCTGTCTCATTAGAATCACCTGGTGAGTTTAAGACGTGCCTGGGCCCTACCCCAGAACACTGAGTTAAGAGCCAGTGATCTGATAAAAAAAAGCAATAAAATAGAACCCCAAAATCTGTGGGCTGCACTGGGTATATTTCTCTTGGGCTAAAAATAAAGTACTTCATGTTTCTTTAGAACACTGACTAACTGTGGGAACCTAGAGAAGTGATTGACAATTTAGAAACCAAAGTGAGGGCAAAAGTCAGCTTGGACTGAAAATTTTGCTGTGGGTTGTTCTTATTCAGATAATCATTATTTGACCCTATCATAAATGACTGGTATGCTAGCTACAATATACAGTCATTTTTATCTTGGAATTTAAAAAACAAACATGTTTGTTTAAGCCAAAATTCTTGGCTAGAGTTTTATCGTTATTGTACAGGGTGGAGTGAAAAGATTTGGAAATAAGAAAGAATATTTAGCACATGTACGGTCTACTTTTCTACTTAAATTCTTAAGGCTATAGATTTGTTTCTATGACAAATAGAGCCAAGATTCATGAATTGCTTACCCCAGACCTAATATCTATTTTAATCTTCAAATTAAACCTATTAGGTGGGTAATACTAATATCTTTGTTTAAAAGAGTTTAAAAAGTCTTGGTGAGTTTAACCTAAAATCATAGATAGCCAGTAAGTGTAAAATCTGGGATTTGACCCAGGCACCTGTGACTCCAGAATTCAAGCTCCTAAAAGTCACACCACATTCCAATACCAGTGTAAGTGTTTATTCTTCTTAGAGATGTTCATGTTGAAAAATTTTGTGTGAAGAGCTGATAGAAATTGTGACTCCAGTTCTTAAAGTCTGTCTTTGAAGCCAGAACTTGTTTTTATGATCTTTCGCTTTTTTCCTCCTGGTTGAACATGCTTTTGTCTCTAACTCATCATGATATATAATGCTCATCAGAGCATACCTGTTATTTTGATCAGGGAATTTTGTTCTTGTGATTGACCTCCAAGACATGTGTAGAGAAAAAGGAAGAGTGAGGAAGTAGGTATCACATGAAAACTCCATAGATAAGCTCCACAATCCAAAATGGGCTTTGTCTATTTTATTCATTGTCATATTCCCAAAGGGCAGAATAAAGTTTGATTCTAGTAGACACTCAATGAGTATTTGTTAGATGGCTGTCTGGCTGGATGGATAAAAAGAGGTACTGTTTAAGAAAAACTCACTTTTTTCTTCATATGTAGGGAAAAACCCAATTCTTTCCTACTATGGTTCTTCCCTGTGTGTCTCCTTTATTCAGAACACTTCATTTCTGACATTTCTGGTCACCAAACTTTTTCCCCACAACAAGCAATTCTGTGTGACACCAGCTGGGTATCTTTCAGTTTAACTCAATTCTCACACTATCTACCTGGAGATAGTGTCAGATCCCAGAGGTTAAGGGCTCTGTCATATGAGACTCTTTCTTGCCCCACTTTAGGTCATCACCTGTGCTTTTGACCAATGGGCTATAGATCAGAGGTTCCAATGGCCTTCTCTTTGGGTTTGATTAATTTATTAGAAAAGAGCAGAAAATTCAGTTTATTAAAGGATATAGTAAAGGACACAGATGAACAACTAGATGAATGTTACACAAGTGGAGGCCTGAGGTGTCCCAAAGCACAGGAGCTTCTGTCCCCATGGAGTTGGAGTGTGTTACCCTCCTGGTGTGGATGTGTTTGCCATCCCCAACACTGCCTAAACCCAGCACTCTTGGGGTTTTATGGAGGCTTCATTACATAGGCATGATCAATTATTACTTTTAGCCCCTTCCCCCCCTCTGTGGAGGATGGGTAGGGGAGTGAGGCTGAAAAGTCCAAGCTTAAAATCATGGTTTGGTCTTTATGGTGACAAGCCCCCATCCAGGAGCTACCCAGAGTCACCTCATTAGAACAAAAGATGTTCCTCACTCTCTTATCACTTAGGAATTTACAAGGGTTTTAGGAGCTCTGTGCCAAGAACTGGGGGCAAAAACATATATATTTTCTATTATCTCACAGTTACAGAGATAGAGGAAAGTTTCGGAATTCTGGTAGTAAGCTTTTCTTGTCACACTGTAACCTGCTCTTCCTTGGGCTGGCAATGCCCAGCATGACCTGCCTGTGATAAGATCATCAGCCCCTGTGCGAAGTGCCTGCCTTATTTTATGTCTGGAAATTCTTAGCATCCTGTCTGAATGGGTAGGCACAGCTAGTGGTACAGGGGCAAATCTGTTCCTTGCCGTAATTATTTTTCTTGGATCGGAAATGGTCTCCAGAAGGGGAAAAAAAAATTTTATGAGAGTTCCTGAAGAAAATGTCGACAAAAGAAAGGTGGCCTCTGTCACAAACAAGAATAAGCCAGCTATTCTTGGTTCACATCAGTATGTCGCAGACTATTTATGGGACCCATGTGTATGATATTGAGGGGCTCAGGCAGATTTAGTCACTGAGATCAAATGTCATAGTGTCTGACGCTATATTAAATAGTCACCTCAGAATTTAGAGACTCTATTCCAGAAGATAAGTATTTTTGTTATATCCTATTTTAAGTAATATCAACAGCAGCAAAACAATAATAGCTAATATTTAATAAATGCACTGTGCTAAGTACTTTATAAGCATTACTGTTGGGAGTAATATCAACAGCAGCAAAACAATAATAGCTAATATTTAATAAATGCACTGTGCTAAGTACTTTATAAGCATTACTGTTGGGAGCCGGCTGCACCTCAGTATCTGACATGGCCTATTGTGACACTGCTATTGTGACAAATCCTGAAGCTCTGGCTGAGAAACAGATGCTGCTTTATGTTTTGAAAAATTTAAATTCCCCTTTGGATGCCCCCAGTAGGATAAAAATCTGACACCCCTTCTTATATTGATTGTTTTATTTTCTTTAAATAAGTGAGTTTTGGACATATTACGATAATTCTGTTTTACTGTTAGTTTCTTAATGATAGATTCTTAGTGATAGACAAGTTATGCACCTTATAATTCTTAAAGATCCTGTTTAGCCAGTAGTGTTTGAAATAGTTGCTAAGTAGTAAACATCCTTTAAGTGCCAAGGCAGGAACTCAGCTCTGGCCATTAGTGGAAGAAATTGATACATAGTCAGGATAAGTTAGTCATTAGTGAAGAACAGATCGGCTGTACCCTGCAAAAGAAACATCGTGAGGAAGTAAAATTCGGTGAAAAGCAAACTTCTAAAGAAAATGGACCCTGGGAAGGAAGGAACATTGAAACTATGTAGAAAACAATTTCCTAATGGGTAAAGGTTTAAACATGGAAAAACAATTTTGGGAAAAACAGCTCAATGACGTAAATAGTTACCTGCCCAGTATAAAATGGACAGGCTGTAAAAATAAAGTGAGACATTAATTCTTGAAAAGCGCTTCTGTGTCTCCGTGTTCTTTCCTCACTGACTCCGTCTCCACCTAAGGGAACCCCTGGACTTGTGGGAGCTGGTCTCCCGCACATTACCTCAAATCATCTTCATAACAGCCTATGAGATAGATATGTGTACTCATATAGACATGTGTATTTTATAATTAAGGGGTAAGCCTCAGAAAAGTGGAGGAGCTTGCCCCAAATCACACCAATGTGAACAATTTTGATCTGATATCCAAGTCCACATTCTTAACTTTTCTGTGACCTTGTCTAGCCTTACTATTCTAATTCTATACTATATTATGTTACTGTTACTTGAAGTGAGGCATTAGGTCAGAAATTTTCCGAAAATCTTACCAGCCTGTGTTTTCTTTTTGAAAAATCATATTTTTCTCACTGATACTGATAGTTTATCGCCTAACTCTTTTCGGCTCCCGTTTTTTGGCTCTCAAGTCATTTTGGAACATAATTGTTCATATTTAATATTTTATGTATTATGAGTGACCACATACTAACTTCCATTGTAGGTTTTTTGAAATGGTGAACACCATTACCGAAGAGAAGGGGAGAGGCACCGAGGAAGGGGAATGTGAAAGTGACTCCCTGGAGGTAATGACTTATGTTTCCATGTTCACTTTACAGTGTCCGTGTGGCTGTTTTTAAAAAATGAACCATTTAAAGCTTTACTGAGGGGGTGGGGCAGGGGGTGGGGTGTGTGTGTGTGTGTGTGTGTGTGTCATGTGAATAGTAATGAGGATTCGGAGGCTCAGCCAGAGACAGTAAACGCTCCCTTAATGTTACAGCTGCAGACAGTTCTACTGCAAGCGCTGTAGAACACTCACCAACCACACCAAACAAGGAGGGGAATGCTCAGATTTTTTTCCTAGAAATACCCAGAGGGTTTTAATAGATCTGTTGCCCTCACAATAAACAGCTTATGCAATAGCGTTCTGATTCATCAAAGTGCTTCTAACTCACTCTTCTCAAGGAAGTGCAGGGACATCATTCTTGTAATGTTAGAAAAACATGCTTCTACTTTTGTCCTTTGCATCCCATCAGAATAATTTAAATATAAAATGGCTTCTACAGTATTTCCAATGGACTGGACAGTCTATACAGTGAATTCAAGTATACTTGTTTTAAGTATTTTGGCTTAGTTTGTCATGATGCCACAGCTAGTGACATTGCTGGCAATTATTATTTTTTTTTTGGTGGGTGTTCTGTTAGTGTAACATTGCTGAATGGATGCAGTGATATCTGGGCTGTGAAGATGAGATCCATCTTGGCTTCCCTCTCACTGAATATTCCTTTGTAACGAAAGCACTGTTATAATATGAGTTATGAAATAGCCTTAACGTATTTTTGTGTAATATATGATAACTCCATTATATCTTTGATCACATCTTAGATATTTTCAACATTCTTGATTAAAATTATTTTTTCAACATTCTAAATATTTGATTAAAAGTTCTTTAATTTCGTTACCACAAACCAAAGTCGAACTTCAGCCCATTAGTGACATACCAAAAATAATTCCTCTGCTTCCCATTCCTTACGGTGTAAACAAGAAGGATCACTTCTGTGACTGAGATTTGTATGCAGAATAATTATTTTCTGACCTTACCCTTAGTTTGAGATAGCATTAAAATTGTTTCAATACAAGTACCATTTACTCCTGAAGCCTCTAGTTACCTTGGCCCAAAACAAAATTAAAATGTTCGAAAGGTCAGACACTCTTTCATACTCTCAGCTTCATTTAAGGATGGTGTCAACATTCGGCAAACGTTAGCTCTAAAGTACAAATTTGACGCTAATCCTTAGACCTCTTGGTGTTTGAAAAACTTCTTGCTCAAAGCTTAGGTTAAGATTTGCTTTTCTTTCTGATTTGAATAGTACGGTTCCTTTGCCGCAGTGCAGCTGGGGGCGGGATTCGGCATCCTTTGGGTCATGGTCAGAGCCGCCCTGACTGTGATCGTCCCTGGCTCCACTGAGCTTCCCCACGCTGGCGTCAGCAGCCTGGAGCTCTGGCTCTCACTTTGCCAACAGCCAGCTTTGTAGCTTTGGACTAAAAATCATACTGTGGCGGGGTTAAGATGATTTCATTTCTTAAATGAGAGTTGAATAAGAAGATCCAACATGTCTTTTCCTAGCTCAAGTTTTTTTATAATTTTCAAGATTAGTACAGATTGTACAAGATTTTCCAAATATAACTCAATCCCAGTTTTAGAGGGCTTTTCTATTTTTAAACAGAAGGAGAAACAAGTTTTTTTTATTTAAAGCCCTGGTTTTTTTTACTCAAGGCTGTTTTGACATGGAAGGGTTATGAGCCTGTATCTTAAATAATTTAAAGTATTAATAAGTTTATGTTGAAATTATTGAATGGTTGATAATAGTTAATCATGAAGATTCTAACACTTACCGGCTGTGGTCCCTATTTTTGTCCTCCCAGCCTTCCCCATCTCCACTAAGAGCAAGGGCATACACCCTCTGCTCCAGCCTCTTACCCTCACACCCAGTCTTTCCTGCAGCCCCTTCATTTCATTTTCTCTGTCACTCGCTCATCTCGGGCCTTCATCATCTCCCATATGGCCTGATCTGTCTCCTGTTGTCAATACGTTGTCATCATCAGACAGATCTCGCTTGTGGATTTAATCCTGTGACTTCCCAAATTAAAACCCTTTAATGCTACTCTTTGTAGAAGGTTTCTGCACCATACGATGTTCTTAGCTCTCTGGCTGTTACTTACCCTTGCCTTTATACCTTGTAGTCCAGCAAGGGCAAACTCCTTTCTGTTTTCCAGACAGCCAAGCTTTTCCTGCCTCTGGGCTTGACATACAGATGCCCAACTTGACATGCTTTTTCTGCTCTGTCCCACTTGGTGACTGCATCCTAATTTTTCGAGAACCAGCTCATGTCATTTTTTTCTTTGAATCATTGGTCAACACCCCGTCTCACTGTTCTCTGCTCTCATAACATTTTTGCCCACTCCTCTGCTCTAGCTCTTCTCATTGCTTTGTAATTCAGTAGCCTGCGCCAGACTCTTTAACACCCCAAGGCTGGACTGTGGCTGTATTTCCCTTTTAATCACATAGTCTCCAATGGTGCCAGGCGACCAGGGAGAAGTACAGTCAGAAGACTTGGAAGGATGTAAATCTGGGGAGTGACAAAGCCAGAACGGTTTAAACAATGTCTCAAATTGGACAGAAGGGTTCATGGATTGGAGGGGGCACAGCAAATGCTAGGAAACTGGCTTGAAGTTTGTTTAATCAATATTAAGTCAATGAAAGAATGAATACCATAGTCAAGCTGAATCACCATAATCGAGCCCTTATTAACCCATTCTCTTTTCAGTTCCTTTTTCATTTCCTTGAAAAAAGAAAAAAGCATACAAATTACTGAGACCCTTTTGGTGCTCATAGAAAATATGTTGTGTCTCCCTCTTTAGTCCTCTTTCAGACACATACATATATTCTAACTCCGTCAGTCCCTACTTCCCTCCTTTTCTCTCCCCTTTCCCCCCAAATCCTCCTTTTTCTTACATGCAACTATACCTGACTGTTTTATCAAAATGGTGGGCATATGATTGACACAACCCTGAGGCAATGATAGCAGCCGGTCTGGTGCACCTATTTTTACATAGTTTCCAGTGTGCCTAAAGAGAACGTTGACCCCTTGTGGAATGGAGTGGGGATAAGCAGGATAAAAGTGAAGGTTTCTCTTTGACTCAAACATCTGTCACTCCCTTACCAGTTCCTTTTCTGAGGAGTTGCCTGACAAACAGTAAATTATGATTTAGAATTTGTTTAAATCAATTTGGAGTCATCAAGTAGTAGCAAGCATACTGCTTTGTTTTTCTTTGGCATCCTAATTCTATTTTTGTTCTGATCCGAAGCTGAATACCCACAGTTCCCACACTACCTGAGAAAATATATCACTTACACTGTTGTGTGATACAAGTATCCATTTGTTACTCATTTTGTTCATTCTGTTGGGAGGCAAAAAAGACATTTTCCTCTGCCAACTTGGGTTCAGTGATTGGGGGCTGTGAATTAACTGACAAAAGACAGATTTACAGGAGATAAGACAAAGCTTATTCACGTAAAAGGGAGCAATCAAAGAAGAGCTCCTGAAGAGCTAGAGTTAAGAGTTTGTTTATCTTAATAAGAAAAGTCTTTAATAGGACTTGGAGGAAGATCACACAGTATGAAACTAATGAGAAACAAGTGGAAGGTATGGAAAACTTTTGTAAAGGTTTGGTTTATGTAATTTCTCATCCAGGCATGAGTGGTTCTGAATTTCCCAGAGAAGGGTTATAGCACCTGTATTTTCAAGAGGCTTTGCTTTAAGTCCACGAAAGAGGTTTAGATAAGGTTCGTTTGTTTTCTGCAGCTGCTATTTATTTAGATGTTTTTATTCAGCTTGAAATCTTCATACCACATTTGTGGGTCTAAGTGGATCCCATCAATTCACTCAACAAATATTTATTGGACACCTATGTCCAAACTGAAAGGCACTATTCGAGGTGCTGAGGATATGGCAAAGAACAGCATGGGAAAAACTCCCTGCCCTCATTGAGCTTACAGTCTAGTGAGAGATGGACAATTTGCAACATAAATAGGTCATATTTGTGGTATGTTTGATAAAGATCGGCGTTAAGGAAGAAAATAAAGCAGGGGAAAAAACTAGGAAGTTACAGTATAATGGGGTACACAGTTTTTGACAAGGAAACCAGGATGACTCTGTGAGATGATATTTGAATAAACATCTGAGGGAGGAGAGATCAATCAAACTCGATATTTGTACCTGCTGCATTTTTAGTATTCTGTTAATGTTATTAATAGTGATTCATGTTTTTCACCTTTGTATATTAAGAAGGCAATACAAACTGAAAATTAACAAAGCTACTTCTTGGGTCTTTGAGGTGACCACTCACCTAATGTAATTAAGACAGAGGGAATTTCATGGGTTTCTAGAAGGTGGTGGTTTTACTGTCAGTCCCTTGACGGTGCAAGGACTAAGTGAGTCACCACTTTGTCACTTGGCCTTGTCAATACTGTCTTCCTACGCTGATTTTCTTTCCAGCACCAGTATAGATTGTTCTGGGCAGGCAACAATAGATGGATGATTCTAGAAGTCTTCCCATCATTGCTTCAAAATGCAATCGTTTCCCTTAGCAACAACCTGATTTGCTAGCCTATTGCCATAGAAATAGAATGCAAAATACATAAGCAGCATAGCCTTACCTTTTATTTTTTAAAACACCCTTTCCGCCACTCCTCTTTTTGTCTGTATTTGTCGTTTAACACACCATACCTTCCCTTGGCCTTTGGCCTGGCTCTGTTCTACTTTTTCTCACCATCACGCACATAATTCTCTCTCCTTGTAACCCAGTCTCCTCAAACCTGTGTTTTCAATTTATGTGTCTGTCTTGAAAGAATAGAAAGAATAGATAAAAAGAAATCAAGCAGCAGTTATCCATTGGAATGGTTTTCAATCACGTTTGTCTTAAGTCCTTTAGACTTTTACTATGACCACTTCTAACAGAAGTCAACTTCTGTACCTTATAAATAATCTTTTAAAAAACAATAGTCTTTTGATGCTTTAGATTCCTGAGGGAAACTGAAACTTGAGCAGCTTCATCTAGGCTTATATGCTTCACTGCCCTGTGAAATATCTATGTGGCAAAACTCATTTCAACCAAAAGTAAACTGATACTGACTTGACATGTTTTGTTTTGGCACCTGATTCAAAAAGAAAAAAAGGTTCTTATCAATTTTTCTATAGCCTGATTAATTAATTAAGCAAATAATTGCTAAGCATCTACTAGAAGCCATATATTGGTAAGACTAGGATAGAGCAATTAAAGATAAAGTCTTAATTCTCAAAGAGCTCAGAGCCCACTGCAGGAATGCACAGTGGGGAAGAGTGATAAATGCATGAGAGAGTGACTGCAGATGGCTTTGGAAGCACATCAGACCCCAGACCCTAACCTGGATTTTGAGGGTCAGGTGGATGGTTCAGGAAAGCTTCCAAGAACTTGGTTTTGAAGGATGAGGCCCAATTACCCAGACAGAAGCACAGTATGTATACATGTACAATGATCTTGGTCACCTCACTGAGAGTTCTTGCAGGAGATTGACGAGAGAGAAGTTGGGACACAGGCAGCAGTAAGATCCTGAAGGGCATTTTGGCTGTGTTAAAGAGTTTGGATTTGATCTTGAAAGTAGTGAGGAGCCAATAAAGCAGAGGCTGTGGTACCAACATGGAAAGCTCACTTTGGAACTTTGGGCCTTGGAAAGTTCACTGTCGACTTAACGGCGAATGAATCGGAGAACAGGGCAACAAGGGAGGAAGGGGATGGGCGGTCAATTAAAATACGTCAGTCATGGGATGTAGTGTGCAAAACGGGGAATACAGTAAATAATATAATAACTTTGCACAGTGACAGTTGGTCACTAGACTCATCATGGTGATTACAACGTAGGGTCTCTAAATTATAAATCACTATGTTATACGCATGAATCTAATATAGTATTGTATCCCAACTATAATTCAATACATTTTTTTTAAAGAGTCTGTAGAATTAGCACAGAAGAAAAGTAAAAAGGGCCTGATCGAGGCAATAGCAGTGAGGATAAACCTGACAGCATGTGGAAATCAGTTTGATACGGGGAGCCAAGAAAAGGAAAGAAGGGAATCTAAGGGACCGCCAGAGGTCGACCATCTGTCTGCTTGAATGGCTGTCTAGTGGATATTGACAGTGTGCTGGAACACCTTTACAACACAGGCATTTGGAAACAGAGCCAATATTCATCTTATAAGCTCTTGTGCTATAAGAGGATTTCCCTAAAGCATTGGTAATGGAAAGAACACAAAATCTGGAATCTTACGAGCTGGGCTTAAACCACAGCTCTGACATATTTTCACTGGAAAAGATATTTCTGATCATTTGTAAACTGGAGCTTATCATAGACCTTCCTTACTATGACACAGGCTTATTATGACCATCAAATGAGATAGGTTATTGAAAGTTAATTTGTTCTTTTAAATTATAGAGCATTATAATGCCGTAAGGTGGTGGCAGTACTAGTTTCAGTGTATAGGTTTCTGTTCCTTTGAGAGTGCACACTGGCAAAGATGAACCACTTTGGTGATGCCTCCTGCTGGCCTGGGCCCTGGCTAGTCGATTTCCAGAAAACAGGGCACAGCTGTTTTTATGAGCTGTACACTTTATATATTTTAAGCTGTGTTGTGAGTGTAAAAATCCATAATTATTGTCCCCTTTTGGGTTGTCAGTATTAATGTTAAATTTGCTACCTTATAAATGTTAGAAATTGATTTTTTTTCAGTTTTTTTTAGCTGAAACCCTTCAATGAGTTGAATCTAGCTGTATGTAGGCGGCCAGTTTTATACTCCAGCAAAACGTAGATAGTAGAGGGAGCTCATTCTTCTGATCTCTCCTGCTGGTCTGCAGCTTTACACTGTGTAGCTACGAAGACATGGCTTGATCATTTGATGGCTTTACATCCTGTAATTTCAGTTTGAGACGGAATATTCCTTTCTGGATGCTGCCTCCAAGGTCTGAGGAAGTCTCTACTAGATGCTGTTGAAACACCTTTTTTTTTTTTTTTTTAAATCCAGTTTTTGTATTTGACATGCTTGACAGTTTGGGGTTTAGGGATATGGATATTTCCTTTTTACATCAAAAATGAAAGTTTTCCTCTATTTTTCACTTTTAAAGTGTTTTTGGTCTTGGGTGATTGAGGATGTAAAAATTATCCTTGTTTTATCATCGTCAATTAGTAAGACCTCTAATTTTTCTTCTTACCCCAAAAGCCTTTCAGTGGTTTTATTCTTCTGGTACAGTGTGAAAAAATAACAGCACCAGAAGCTTAAAAATAAAATAAAGGTTAATTAGATGTGATAGGTATTGATGCTAATTATACTTATATGCAGAATCAATGAAAAACAGAATTTAGTGGGTAAAAGAATCCAACTGGGCTTTTGAAGAAACACTTTTATGGATTGAAATATTATCGTCCCCACTGTATTTGTAACAGTTGTGAAAACATGAACACATTATCTGCTTTATGTTGAAAGAGTCTCTTTTTTTGGTTCTTGAAGCTGCTTTTTAGAATTTGTTTCCCCTGTTGAAACCACCTGACAAAATAAGGAAAAATGCTTTTAGAAAAAGTCGATGTTGAAAATGTAGAATGTTGCTAATGTTTCAATCTTCTCTCCCCATTTTTCCTTTTGTAGTATGACTATGAACACGATGAAAATGGTGACAGAGTCGTTTTAGGAAAAGGCACCTATGGGATAGTCTATGCAGGTCGGGACCTGAGCAACCAAGTCCGAATTGCTATTAAGGAAATCCCAGAGAGAGACAGCAGGTACAGTAATTGGGGCTAATAAAAAGCTGTTTTCTAAGGTATGTTGGGTTGTTTGTAGCATTTTAGAAAATATTTTGTTGATATTCTAAGTAATGAAACTTTGTCTGAAAACTCCATTGTTTTCATTAGTTCCCTCTGAGGGTTAGCTGCTGTATCATTCAGTGATTCAATGACAAGACAGGGGTGGAAAAGGACAGCATCTTTGTGATAACAAGGACAGGACTTTTATTAAAGAGTAGGAAAGAAAATGGACATGTGTGTGTTGGGTCCAGTTTATATTATTAGCAAATAATAGTTGGTTTATTATATGCCTAAATGGGGAATAAACACTATCAGAAATGGTGTGAAAGGAAGGTTCCAGTTTCCAGTCCGGCACGTAAGAAGCTTGGTAGTTCCCTTTTATTTGGCCATTGTGATAGGGTCACATGATCAGTTTTCTTCAGAAAGGACACTCTTGGGAGCTCCCTGGGTCACCTGTCTACCCATCCTCTCCACTTGTAAATCTAAAAGGCACTTCAAGGTTAACATGGCCAAAACTGAACCAAAGCTGAACCATGGATTTTTACCCCCAAATGTACTCTACCTGAAGTATTTTTCCCTACTACCTCAGTTAAGGTTACTCCATTCATCCAGCTGTTCAGGCTAAAAACTAGGATTTACTTGGATTCTTCTCCCTCTCCACGTCTGCTCCACACAACTCTAGTCTAAGCCTTCAGTTCTCCCACCAGACTCCCTAGTGCAATTACCTTGTAACTTTCTCTGCTTTCACGCTTTCCTCAACCCCAACTCCATCCTTCCTCAGAGAACCCACAGAGATCTTTCTGAAATTGAAATCACTTCATGTCACTACTGCTTAAAACCCTTCAATGAATTCTTCACCAGCACAAAACCCAGAACCCTTAACCTAGACATCTGCCCTCCACTGTGGCCTCACCTGCTCCATCTCAGCCACACTGATCTTATCCATTAAGCACATCAACGCTGATTTCCCAGATCTCAGCAGGATTGCCTTATTTTCATCATTTATTTCTCAATTCAAATTTCAAACAATCAGAGAGGCTTTCTCTGACTTCCCCAAGCCGAGAAAGTATCCTCTCCCATGCAACCAGTGTCCCAGGTCCCAGATCTCTTTCTGCCTCTCCATTCTTAGTGTATGACTTTCATAGGTGACCATGCTGCCTCCAGCCCCCATATCTGCATTCCAGGCAGGAAGAAGAAAAACAAAGACAAACTTCCCGAAATGTCCAGCTTACTTTTACTTGTGTTGCGTTAGCCAAAAGTAACCATCCCTAACTACAAGAGAGGCTAGAAACTCAATAGCATTTTAGCTGCCCATGTGTTTTTCCAAACAAAATCATAGAAAGAGGGAAGAACAGATAGTCAGTAGACAAACAGCTGTTTCTGTCTGCCACATGTATGGTTTCATGGTTTCTCAGCTATTGTTGCAGTTTCCTCTTGGTTAATTCATGAGATGTATTTATGAATTCTTATGAAACGGTGATAGAAATTATTCATTAAATACCAAGAGAAATATATACAAATTTGTCATATTAGAATTTTTGTTAATTATTCCTGTATATTCTTAAGTAATATTATACATAGAGTAGATTTTGAGACAATGTAAGAGTTAAAGGGGTTATCACTATCAAGTTGCTATAGCAAACTCGCCAGTCTTCAGCAACATCCCCTTCCCTCCCACCACCAGATGAATATAAGTAGGTACTTAGAGAAAACCACTTTTCAAATCAGCTTTGTAGCCTAAGTTTATTCACCCACCACTATGCACACGCAAAGCCCACCAATAGTAACAAAGGTCGTGCTTTTGAAAACGCATGCATGACAGGCCCTTCTCTTGAACAGCTGGCACAGGGCATCTTCCTTCTCCCTATAAAAGAAGATTACAATGAAAGCTGTCATGTTATTGGGATATGCAACGCACAAGGGTATTTCCATCCATGTGCCCTGGAGAGGTTTCGATGTTACATTTAAAAAGATAGCAGCTAGAATAATTACTAAAGTACTAGGATGGGTGTGAATGATGCATAATGCAGCATACACTAAGCACTGCCATCTGTAATGATGGATCATAGCAACAAAAGTAGTGTCTTCTGTGTTCCCTTCACACTCTATAAACACGTTGTTAGAGCTGTAAGACAGAGGTAGTGGATTTCAAGTGTACTGTCATAATCTCTCCCAAGTAATTGTTAACCTCAATTGGTTTCCTCCTCTAAAATTCTACACACCCCCTGAACTACTTGCTTAGATCAGTTATTCTCCACCGAACTGTATACTGGAGCCAACTGAGGAATTTTTTAAAATACTAATGCTCATGCTGCACACACCCGCCGCCCCCCCGCAAATTCTGGGATGGGACTGTGATAGTTTTTAAAAAGCCTTCCCAAATGCCCAGCCAAGGTGGGCAACACTAGTTTAGATGGTTGTCATGGGAATTTGACTCAGAGGGGGTGCTCTGGAGACAGTGGTAGATTAATGATTTCAAAACTGGATATATATGCATATATGTATATGAGTATATAGGCATCTCTGATTATCTGTGCCATTTCTTCCTTCCATTGTTACAGTTAATTGAGAAAAAGTAGAATTTCCTTATAATTCCCATAGACATGCAGAGCTTCTTGACCTAAACAAAGTATTAATTTCATGCTTATTCAGTGCTTGGCATTTATACTTTCACTTATACTTATCGAGTATTGCTGAGTGTTACCTATCATTTCCATATTAGAGAAGAGTTCTTATTCTTAGCTAGGATAAATCCTGACTATTATTGTAACTTTTGAACTAACCTTTTGTTAAATAGTGTGTGTGTGGGTGGGGGATGGGGGGGTGTCTATATTTGCTTCTGCAGGATCTTACATTTAAACATTCATGATTGACTTTCAACAGAGGGTCAGAGGTGGGAGCCCTTTGGTTCATCATAAACTGAGTTAGTCATTTGCTTAAGGTTCTTTAGTCATCTTTATCTCCTAAATCTTTACAATAGGCCCAATATTTGCCACTAATTTATCTCATGCATATCAAGAGTAGTTTCATTAACTAGTATTAATAAAGTGTTTTAAACCTCCATGGAAAAAACAACTTGCAAATGTCTTCATAGTTTACAGTCATTACCTAAGTGTCTTGCTGGTAACACTATATGCTGTTTATTGCTGGTGTTATCTTATTCAAGCAATTATCAAAATGGTGGT